CATTGCGCAGGTCCCAGGACCCCTCTCCCTCTAGCCTTCATCGTTCATCTCCAGGCTCAGAAAGGGCAGGACTAGAACCTTCTTCAGCCCACATCCGAGTCGCCTAGAGTTTTTGTGCCCCGAGGGACTTGTCACCAGGCCAGAGCTGGTGACTTCCTGCCTCGTCTTCCCCAACCCGGCGTGTAGAGATAATAAACAGCCTTGCAGACGGGCATGGGCGTCTGAGAGCCCTCGCTGTGCTGTTGGCGCATGAATGGAGGTTCTGGGAAGGAAGACGGACCAGGGGTTCCTTTAGAAGGTTCTGGAGTCCAGGTGCTTGAAACTGAAAAATAGTTGTCAGTATTCTCAGAACCCTTCTTTGCCTGTTAAGTACATGCACGCGTGTGCGAGTACGCATGCGCACACACACGTACTCAAAGCACAGGGCTGCTGGCCGGCCGAGCTGGCAGTGATGGGGGATGGTCCTTAGTGAGGAGCCCGGCTGCCCTTGTGCGCCTTGCGCTTCTGCGGCCGGGTTCGGCTGGCGTCCCCGCTGCCTGCCGCAGTGAGCCCGGCCCTCCACAGGTGCTTCCTCTGGGTTGATGCCGGGCTCATCAGGAGGCTTCAAGACCATGTATTTCTGGCCTGGCTAGAAATAGCGGGGTGCTGCCAGGACAGAGGCAGCCGAGGGGTGGGGACGTAGCCGCCGGGGTGTGTGGGGGAAGTGAAGAGGGATTTCTGGGGTTCACCACCGTAGTTCTGCTGTGGGAGTGAACATGGCTTCCAGACGGCGTGCGGCCCGGGCTGCCAATGTGGCTCCCTCCTGACTTACTTTCTTTCATTTTTTTGTCCATGGTGGGGCGTGAACTCAGGGCCTCGGTACTGTCCTGAGCTCTTTTGCTCAAGGCTAGGGCTCGACCAGTTTGAGCCACAGCTCCACTTCCGGTTTTTGAGTGGTTAATTAGAGAGAAGAGTCTCACGGGGATTTTTCTTTCCTGGGCTGGCTTCGAACCACGATCCTCAGATCTCAGCCCCCTGAGAAGCTAGGATGACAGTTCTGAGCTACCAGCACCCGGCCTTCCTGTCTTTCTGATTGGAACAGGAATGTGTGCTTGATATTAAAATGGCTTTTCTTCCTTCTCAATAGTGTGTATTTCTTTTTTGGGTTTCTTTCTTCCTTTTCTCCCTTTCTTTTGTTGGTTTGTGTGTGTATGTGTATTTGTGTGTGTGTGCTGGGGCTTGAACTCAGGGCCTGGGTGCTGTTCCTGAGCTTTTTTGTCCAAGACTAGCACTCTACCACCTGAACCACAGCTCTACTTCTGGCTTTTTTGGTGATTAGTTGGAGATGAGAGTCTCATGGAACTTTCCTGCTCTGACTTTGAACCGTGATCCTCAGATCTCAGCCTCCTGAGTTGCTAGGATGACAAGTGTGAGTCACTAGCGCCAAGCTAAAGGCCAGGTCTTCTAGATTCTTCCAAAGCTGAGAAAGCCTCTGATCACCCCCAGTGCTGGTCATCCAGCTGGAGGAGGTGCAGCTAGCTAAGTGCACAGAGCCCCAAAACCTTGGCTCCTGGAGCAGTGCAGGGTCCCGGGTCAAGAGGCGGAGCAGAGACCAGTGGTCCCGGCGCCGGGCGTGGTGCGGGGCCCGTTGTGACTTCCTCTGGTGCCACACCAGTGGAGGAGATCGCACCTGAGCAGACCACGAGAAAAGGGAGGGCGGGAGGGGACCTGCCCGGCCCCCACTCCCCCACGCCGGCGGGAACAGAGCCTCTGGTTTGCATCTCGGCCTCTGGACTCCAGGATTTCTTTGTGGGCTTTGTCCTCCCTCCTCAGCTGAGCCCCAGGACTTCGCCCCAGCGCCCCTGCTGAGGCGTGCACACTGGGTCCTGTAATTCTCCTGTGCGCAGACGTGTCGGCTTGCACAGCCTGCCCCCCTTCCTGGGCTGGAGGGGGGCACCCGGCACCCAGCACCCGGCACCGCCTCAGCCAGTGCTGCGAGGACTGAGTCAGCCGGGAGGATGGGGGCCTGGGTGAGAATTCTGAGCGTGCGTTGTTTCCTGTTGTGTGAGGCCGATGTTGAGGTTGCAGGCATGGACCTCCGCGGGGTTGATGAGGAGAGAAGGGGGGTGGGGAGGAGCTGTGTGGGGAGGGCCGGAAGAAGGGGGGCAGCTCCAGGGGCAGTGAGGGGGTGGGTGGCCGGGCCTGGGGAAGCGTGCGGTGGTGCTGGGCCTGGGGTGCGCTGTGGCCAGGCAAGGCCGTGTCTGTCGCTGTGTTATCTGGCTTCGTCAGGCAGGAAACCCAGCTTCTAAGGCTGCTGCGCAGCAGCTACTGTGAGAACAAAGTCATCATAGTGACGTGCGCACTTGGCAGAGAACCCGGACCCCCCCCCCCCCCATGGCTGCTATTATGGAATTGGTGGGAATCTCTGAAGACTTTTTTCTCATGTGCTTACACATGTGTGTGCATGTACAAATACCGGACTGATATGTTCCTGAATATGTATTGGACAGACACATTTTTTTTGAGGGGGGGAGAGCCTATGTTCCAGCATATTCCGTGGATATAAATGCTGGGTTGTCCATGAATCTGAATGCCCGGAGTCCTCAGCACCGCCTAATGCCATAGAAGGGTCTGGGAGGGCGCGTCTCTCCTGAGAATGGGGCCTCATAACCCCCTAACCTTGCAAGCAGGCCAAAGCCCAAAGAGCACCAGAACTAAGGATGAGGCCATTATGTCTGTAAGACCTTCAAGGGCCAAATACAAGCAACAGATGTCTGGCTTGCAGCAAAAGCTTAAAGGGACAGCAGGCAGATAGGCCATGTTCAGGGACAGAGCACCGAGGACGCGAAGAGAGCCGTTCTTCCCGGCTTGACCTAGAGATTCAGTGTAGTCCCAGCCAAAACCTGATAGGGTGTGCGTTTATCTATCCTCAAAAGTTCAATTCCAGGGGCTGGGAAGGTGGCTCAGTGGTAAAGCGCTTGCCTTGCATGCATAAGGCCCTGGGTTCGATTCCTCAGCACCACATAAGCAAAAAAGAAAAAAAGCCGGAAGTGGCACTGTGGCTCAAGTGGTAGAGTGCTAGCCTTGAGCTGAAGAGCTGAGGGACAGCACCCAGGCCCAGAGTTCAGGCCCCACGACCGGACCCAAAAAAAAAAAAAAAAAGTTCAATTCCAGCCCGGCACTGGTGGCTCACGCCTGCAATCTTAGCTACTCAGGAGGCTGAGATCTGAAGATCGCACAGCAGGAAAGTCCATGAGACTCATATCTCCAATAACTACTCAGGAAAAGCTGGAAGTGGTGCTGTGGCTCAAGTAGTAGAGCACTAGCTTTGAGCAGAAAGAAGCTCAGGGGGGCTGGGAAGGTGGCTTAGTGGTAGAGCGCTTGCCTTGCATGCATGAGGCCCTGGGTTCAATTCCTCGGCATCCCATAAGCAGAAAAAGCCGGAAGTGGTGCTATGGCTCAAATGGTAGAGTGCTAGCCTTGAGCTGAAGAGCTGAGAGACAGCACCCAGGCCCTGAGTTCAAGCCCCAGGATTTGTGGGGGAAAGAAAAAAAGCTCTATCCCCAAACACCTTATCTCTAAGAAAGGAAAAACTCAAAATTCCCTGCTCTGCATTCATCATTCTGACTTCTGACACCAAACATGGAGGTTCCCCCCCACCCCGGCCCCCAGCACACAGTACCCCAGTGGATGCCAGCTGACTCAGTTCAACTCTGATACCACGTTCCATTCCACAGGCTGTAAGATGATGACCCACATCTCACCAGCCCCAGGCTCCTGACTGAGCAGCTACAAATTGGGGGGGGGGTGTCACAGAACTGCCTCCCTTGGGTTGTGTACATTTGCTAGACAGACTCCCAGAATCCTGGAGAACACTGGCTTATTGGCAAGAACAGCACAGACAATGTGGGTTTGGGGGAGGCCCAGGGCCAGGTGTGGAGGAGGGTACCTGGCTTCTGTGCCCAGCGGCATGCCCGCCGTCCCCCAGAAACCTCCCTGTGTTGGGTTCCTATGAAGGGTTTGCCTTGTAGGTTGAGGAAAGCACAGGCCAACTCAGCCTCTGCCTTTGTCCCCTCCCTGCATGGAGGGAGAGGGCTGGGAAGGCTGATGTGGCTTATAGATCTCTGGTTGGATGCTCAAGGGTGTGAGGAGTTGTGTGCTAGGAAATTTCAGTATAGATGTGAGTGGCTCTTTTGCTCACATCTGTGAACCTTAGTTACTCAGGAGGCTGAGATCTGAGGATGGGGATTTGAAGCCAGCTAGGAAAGTCCAGGAGACTCTTATCCCCAATGAACCACCAAAAAGCCAGAAGGAAAACTGGCTCAAATGGTGGAGCACCATCCTTGAGTGAAGAAAGCTCAGAGATAGAGCTTTTGTGAGTGAAGGTAAAAGGTCATCAAGGTCAGGAGGACCTCGCGTGACACTCAGGGGGCCTTGTGGTTCACCTGTTGTCTGGTAGAATCTTCTCCAAGTTCCATTACCAAAGCGTACGGTCCTTGTTTAATGTCTGCATCTCTGGAGAGGAAATTGGGAAATCCCAAGCCCTTTTATCAGCCACCTTTGCACTACTGGGATAAAATACCCGAAAGAATCAACTTGAAGGAAGAAAAGATTGATTCTGGCTTAACAGTCCCTGATCACCTGGCTCCACAGCACCATGGCGGAGGGGAGGTGGTGGAGCAGAGTTGCTCACCTCATGGTGGCCAGGAAGCAGAGAGAGGAAGGGGCAGGGTCAAATGCACCCTGTAAGGCCACGCCCCCAGCCACCTCCTTCCTCCAGTGGCCCCGCCCCCTGGAGGCCCCATTCAGTCATGAAGCCATCCTGGAGGAATCCATTGATGAGATCATGGCCTTCAGCATGCTGTCACCACTAAAGCATGTAGACACTGGGACCAGCACCGGATTGACCTTCCCCACACCAGCTCTGGGGACACGCCGTTTGCCTCCGGGGCTGTGGGGGGCTGTGCACCCAGGTGCCACCGCTGCCTTCTGATCCGCCCTCTCCTGCTTGTTTCTTGCAGTGGACATCATGGAGATAAAGGAGATCCGCCCGGGGAAGAACTCCAAGGATTTTGAGCGTGCGAAAGCTGTGCGCCACAAGGAGGATTGCTGCTTCACCATTCTGTACGGCACGCAGTTCGTCCTCAGCACGCTCAGCTTGGCAAGTGGGTGCACGTTCATCTGCTCCTCAGGAAGTTCTTCACTGGCCAGTCTCCACCCTGCCCGGCTCCCCCCAGGCCTGGGGTGGGGTGGGGGAGGGGCGGGCGTTCAGTTCTAGCTGCTGTCCAGCTGTGTGGCCTGGGGCAGCAGCTCAGCCTCTGAGCTGCAGGCTGCTTGGAGGTGGAAGGGGGGGAGTGGTCATGCCCACCTCACTGGGAAGGTGTGAGGAACATTCCACCTGTCCGCCTTTGGGTGTAGAGAGTCGATAGGTGGTAGAAGTGTGCTCACTGCAGGCCAGGCTCTCCAGACACAAATACCAGTTGCAGAGCTTGCCTGGCAAACGCCCATCTGAAGGTACTGCCTTGAGATCTGCATGTGCACACACACACATACACACCACATGCACACACACAGTGCATTATGAGATCTTGTATGCACACCCATGCACCACCCACGTGTGCACACAACACATGAGATCTTGTATGTGCACACATGTGCATACAGCACACACACATACAGCACATGCATGAGATCTTGCATGTGCACACAGCACCTTATGAGGTCTTATATGCACACAGGCACATACATGCACGCAACACATGCATAAAGACAGTATGCAATGCATATGTGCAACATATGTGAATACACAACACAGCGCATAACACACGTGTGTGCACCCAGCATACAATGCTCCCTGCACATACATGTACACACTACCATGTGTCACAAGGCACATGCACAGCACTAACACACATACCACATACCACACATGTGTACACAGGACACACTGCAACCTGCACACATATATGCATTCACACAACACATGCACACTCATACCACACATGGCAAGTTACAGACTCATGGCAGTACACACATGCACACACAACACACATCCATGTGTACACTAGCAGCAAACATAGCACATCCCACACAAAGCACATGAATCACACAACACAAAACATGTATCACAACACAGTAGTTATACGCAGCACAATATGTGTTACACGCATGCACACACAGCCACGCATATACGCAGCACATGTATGTCCTTGGCAAGGCTCAGCACACACATGCACACGGCGCACATGTGGACACATGGTGGGTGGGAGGCTGACTTTGCTGGAGAGCAGGTCAGGCGGAGCCCGGAAGCCCCCGGGGCTCTGGGTGGGGAGCCCAGGGGTGCCCGAGGTCGGGGTCTGAGTGGCTGGCTTCAGTGCACCTCACCTGAGGGTTGCCCTGAGCCCCAGACCTGGACGGAGACCCCAGGCCCCAGGCACTGCTCTGGGCACACTGCTTCTCGGGGCCTGTTTTCTCCACACTCTGTGGCCTTGGCCTGCTGGCTGCAGAGTGGCAGCTGCCTGTCCCAGAGCAGGGCGCTTCCCTCGGGACAGCGGCGCCTGCTCCCTCCCAGCCCCCTCCCCGTCCACTGGAACCAGAAATCCTGCAGTTCCCTGAGGAACTATTGCCATAGGGCCATGAGCTCCACCGCTCGGTGACAGGACCAGAAGCTCCTGAGATCCGGATGGCCACCCGAGGCATCCCATCTCCACGCGTGTGGCCTGGAGCCATGTTTCCTGCTGTAGGGGTGTGGACTGCAGGGGGGAAGGGTGGAGGGTCCTGGGCAGATTGTCCTGGATGGGCCGGGGCCTGTGCAGCCACGAGGTGCTTCTCAGAGGACATTGAGGTGGTACCTCAGACAAGGCGATGAGTGGGGGGTGGCAGGCGGGGCGGCGCGGGCGGCGCGGGCGGTGCTGCCCCCACCCAGGCACGGGCTGCCCACCTAGCGTGACCCGGTGGCGGTCAGGGGTCAGCGGCGCGGCTTCACGCTGTGAGTCGGGAGACACCCGGGGCTCCCCGGGGAGCGTTTCCTTGTGACCTCGGCACTTGCGGGTGGGGTGAAGGCCTGGAGTGTGACTCCCCGGAGGGGTCAGGCGGGGGTACCCGGCGTGGAGCCCAGCGCCGGTGGACGGTGGGCGTTTGTTTGGAATCTCGGTCCACTCTGGTGGCCAGCGCACACAGCGCAGCCTCCGCTCGGTGACGCTGCTGGAGGCCGGCAGGGCCAGGCGGTGGGGCGGGCGCCGAGGGTTCTGGGGACGCCCCCCTCGGTTTGCTGGGGCCGCCTTCCTCACGGTACCCGTGCCAGCGAAGGGCACGGCCCCCTCTTTACTTCGCCTGCACCCCATCGCCTCTCAAGGCCCCATCTCCGAATGCTGTCATGCGGGGTTGTGGGGGTGCGGGGGCTTCGGCCTCCGGCCACGGGTGGCTGAGGGTGGACTGTTGGGAACTCGAAGCCCGAGAGGGGCCCAGATGGCCCCCGGAGCTCACCCCTCCCCCCGGCTCCCCCCCCTGCAGCCGACTCCAGGGAGGAAGCGGTGAAGTGGCTGTCTGGCCTGAAGATCCTCCACCAAGAAGCGCTGAGCGCCTCCACCCCAAGCATGATCGAGAGGTACCTGCGTGCTCCCCGCCCTGCCGCCTTGGGGGACACAGACCGGGGTGGGGGGAGGTGTAAACGTGGGGCTTCGCATCTTTGAGGCTCATCGAGTATCTGGTATACAGTGGTGCTCAGTAGAGGTGGTGGATTCTCCTGCTGTGCTCCCTGGGAGGGTGTGTGTGTGTGTGTGTGTGTGTGTGTGTGTGTGTGTGTGTGTGTTGGGGGGAAGGGATTGGGGTGAACTCAGTGAGCCGAGCCTCTTCCCTCTGCCCCATTTTCCTGATTGGTCTGGGCATTCGTGACCCTCGGTAGAGGGAGTTAGAACTTGATGAAATCTCCCCCCCTTTTTTTTTGGTTGGTCGTGGGGCCTGAACTCTGGGTCTGGGCGTTGTCCCTCAGCTCTTCAGCTCAAGGCGAGCGCTCTACCACTTGAGCTACAGTGCCACTTCTGGCTTTTTCTGCTTATGTAGTGCTGAGGAATCAAACCCAGGGCCTGATGCATGCGAGGCAAGCGCTCTACCACTGAGCCACCTTCCCAGCCCCAAATCTTGCCTTTTTGTTGTTGTTGGTGGTTACGGAGCTTGAACTCAGGGCCTGGGTGCCGTCCCAAAGTTGTTGTTTTTTTTTTCCCCTCCAGATTTCTTTTGCTCAAGGCTAGCACTCTACCATTTTGAGCCACAGCTCCACTTCCAGTTTTCTGGTGATTCATTGGAGATTAGAGTCTCACGAGTTTTTCTGCCCGGCCTGGCTTTAAACCACAGTTCTCAGATCTCAGCCTCCTGAGTAGCTGGGATGACAGGTGTGAGCCACCAGTGCCCAGCCTGAAATGACTTCTTTTTTTTTGCAAGGAGCATACTGGGACTTGCACCGGTTTCTAATATTCTTTCTCTTTTGGTCTCCAATCTCTTCCTAGTTGGCTGAGAAAACAGATTTATTCTGTGGATCAAACCAGAAGAAACAGGTAAGAATCCTTCACAAAATTTGTTTGCTTTAGACTTACAATTTATTATGATGTTTCGGTTGCCAGTACTGGGGCTTGAACTCAGGACCTCACGCCGTCTGTGAGCTTTTTCTGCTCAAGGCTGGCACTCTACTCCTTGAGCCACAGCACCATGTCAGGCTTTTTGGCGGTTATGTGGAGACAAGGGTCTCACGAACTTTCCTGCCTGGGCTGGCTTTGAACTTCAGGCCTCATCTGAGCCTCCTGAGTGGCTGGGGTTCCAGGTGTGAGCCGCCGGTGCCTGGCTTTGGGGCTCAGTGTGGGTCCTGTCCAGGGCTGGGCTGAGGTGAGGTGGGGTTGCTCCAGACCTCACTCTCATTTCTTTAACAAATGTGTGGCCTGGGTGGATGCTGTGCATTCCCAGCAATCATCTCTGTGTCGAGGCCTACACGATCAATCCTTCTCCGTTGGGTGTGAAAGATGAGGGTGCAAACCTCTGTGTAAACTTGTGCATGTGCAGACGTCCACATCCGGTCACGGGTCGGGACCTCCCGGGCTGCCGACTTTGACCCGCTGTGAACCTCAGGTTTGAATGATGACGGCTTACATTTGCTTAAATTTGCATTTCTTTCTTTCTGGCCACGCCCACTCTTCTTTTGCTTTTGGTGTGTTGGTTCTGGGTTTGTTTTGGAGATGGGTTCTTGTGCTTTGGCCTGGTGGACAGTCGCGGGGGGACCTCAGACTGTGCTCTTCCTCCTGCATAGCGGGAATTACAGATTTAGGCTGCGGTGGCTGGCTTGGTCGGAAGATGAGGTCTTGCTGACTCTTTGACCCCAGCCGGTTCAGACCACGATCCTCCCATCTCTGTCTCCCGAGTTTACTTGGATCGCAGGCGTGTGTCACCACACCTGGAAAAAAAACCCATTTATTATGCACTTTGCGTGCCGGACTTTGAGTCATTCTCTCTCTGGAGAGAGTCTCTCTCCGTCGGTGCCTGTACTGGGACTTGCACTGCATGCTGACTTTTTCTCTTCTACTCAAGGCTTTGCCACGAGAGCCACAGCTGCCCTTGGGCTTTCTGCTTGTTAGAGATAAGAGCCTCACGGAACCTCGCTCCTCAGACCTCACCTCCCACATAGCTGGGATCTCAGCTGTGAGCCACGGTCCCCTCCGCAGGGAGGAAGCGGGCTTCTGGGTGTCACCTCCCTGCAGCTCTGTCAACACATGGAAAAGCCCCACCTTTCCCGAGGCCCACAGGGAGCGCCTCACAAGCCAGTGTCCCAGGCGCCGTGAACACGCGGCCGCTCCCCCCTTTCCTGCCGCCCACGGGGAGGAATCGGCTCATGGTTTCCTGAAGGAGAACCCGGGGATCCGAGGCCAGGGCAGGGCTCCAGGCGGCAGGGCTGAGCCCGGATCCCAGGTGTTTTGCTTGGCCTGGGTTCCTGGGTGGCTTCTCAGCCTCTCCACTGGCACCGTGGTGGCAGTTTGTGGAGAATGCGTGGGGCAGGGGCTCCCGCTGGGCATTCTCGGCCCAGAGAGGCCGAGTCACGTACCTGAAGCAACTCAGCTTGGTGTGGACCGCGCCAGGGTAGACTATTCCGGGGTGGCTTTTTCTTTTAAATTTTCCTCTTGAAAAGCTAGCGCGAGACAGAAATCTGTCCTTCCTGATGAGGAAAACCAATGAAGCTAATGTCTACCATGAAAGCTATAGTTCTGTATGTGACCGCACACAGAGCACGTGTTTACCCATTTTGAGGTTGGCACAGCCGCATCCATGTCCAGCACAGCTGGAGGGCTGGCAGGGGCCTCCAGGGTCTGGCGTACCCCACCGCGCCTTTCTTCAGAGTCTGCTGGGATAGTCTTCCTCTTAAAAGCTGAGCACGACTCCCTGCATCTAGAGACATTCCTATCTTCTGCTTCCGGCAGTGGGGATTGAACCCAGGAACCGCAGCTTGCTCTACAAGCTTCTACTTGTTAAGCAATGCTCTCAGCCCTTTGGTTTTCATGCACGTATTGCCAGCCTGGCCTGAGATTCCAATCCCCTGCTTTCCATCTCTGCCTGCCAGGTTGCTCGGATTACATGCTTGAACCACCTCACCTCTCTGGGGATTTTTCTCCTGAGGTGGGGTCTCACTTTGTCCTGGCTGGCTTTGAATTTATGATTCCTCCCCCCCCCCCCCCCCCCACTGCCTCTGCCATCTCCTGAGTAGCCGGGATTATAGGCCTGCTGCACCATGCTTGACTTACAGGTGATATGGTGGGTGTCCGTCCATCGCTGAAGGATGCTTGGGCTGCCTCTCCTTGTCCGCTGCTGTGGCTAACGCTCCCCGCCTCTGCTTCCCGCTCTGGGCCCCGTAGTCTGTCCTGGCCCTCTTCGTAACAGTGTGAAGGCCTGTGGCGCTGTTTTATGCACAAGGCCATTCACGCCGGGCACACGGGCTTCCATTTTCTCAGCATCCTCCCCTCCCCACGGCCCTGCGGCAGATAAGACCTTTGCGGACGCAGCGTCCGCTTCCTCCGTCCTGCGGGCTGTGCGGCTGGGCTGGGGAAGGTGGCAGCGGAGACAGGCGTGGCTCCGTGCATCTCCCTCTGTGCCGATGGCTTGCGTGTGGTTAAGAGGCTCCGGGCTGGGCACGCCTGGCATCCTCTGGGCACTGGAAATTGAATAATTAAACTATATAGCTTCACAGTGAAGCCGGGAGCCAGAGAGCTTGGTGCAGTCCCCGGCAGGGTGCCGCCCAGGTTCCTAGAGGGCCGAGCCCTGCCCAGACGGCCGCTGACCGTGTCCCAAGGAATGGAAGTTACATGCCATAGAATGAGGAGTGGCAGCACGTGGCCGGGGCCATTCGAGCCCCCGCGGGTCAGCACAGATGTCGGCCGCTTCCACCCCCTGGAGAGTCCTATCCAGCAGAGGTGTAAAGCTCACCCTCTCGCCTGCCGCTGCGTGAGTGGTGGTTGGCCATTTCATGTCCCCGGGCCGCCGTGTCCTCAGCTTAGAAGAGTCATCCCTACCTCACACCTTGGGCATTGGGCTGGCAGGGAAGTGTGCGTGTGTGTGTGTGTGTGTGTGTGTGTGTGTGAACCAGCTTTGCTCGATTGGGAATGGCTGTCCCAGGTGCACTGTGGACTGGATCCTGGCCCTTGGCCAGGCTGGCGCTGGAGACTGAGAAGAGCACAGCGATGGTTTAGTAATGTCTGCTGTGGAGGAGGCGGAGGCTGCTGGGGGGTGCGGGTGTGGATTCCAGGGGAGCTCGGGAAAGGTGGTTGAGGCGGTGCTGGTTGGTGTGCTGACACTGGGGGCTTGCTTGGGCAAGGCAGCTGATGTGGGGAGCCGCTGGGCGGTGGGCCTCTCGTGCTGGTTCGGGGTTCACGACCGTCCCTGCTGGGGTCGGCCAGACCGCGGTGTGCTGTGCACCCCGGTGCAATCTGTCCTGAGATTCTCTGTTCTGGCCGGCCTCCAGAACTGTCTCTGGCGGTGGGCACGGCCCCCTCCTGGCACAGCGCTAGGAGGTGCATCTGCGCACCGAGAGCTACTCCCACGGCCGCGCACACTCTCCACCGCTGCCTTGAGGTTGATGGTTGATGAGCTGCTCTCTCTCTCTCTCTCTCTCTCTCTTTCTCTCCTTCTCTCCGTCTCTTTCTCCCTCCGTCCCTCCCTCCTTTCGTTTCCTCTCCACTCAGCATTGGCCTCCGAGAGATGAAGGCCATTCTGCCCACAGTGAACTTCAAGGTGAACAGCGTGAAACTCCTCAAGGACAAGTTCATGGTGAGTCTTGCAGCCCTGCCGCTCCATCCTGCTCAACGGGCCGCAGGCCCGCCGGGCGGCCTGCTGTGCTGGGGAATGGAGTTCTAGAAAGGTCTCTGCGCTGCAGAGGTGTAGCCTGTGGTGACTGTGATGTCTGTTTGAGACCTCAGCTCTGTCTCCCCACCACCCTTCCCCGGACAGTCCCCCATTTCCTTCCCGGGAATATGAATACATGTGTCATGCATGTGTGCCTGTGTGTACATGTGCATGTGCACATGTGTGCACACACACATACGCGCTGTATTGGGGCTTGAACTCCAGATCTTGTGTTCTTGCTTAACTTTTTCACTCAAGGCTGGTGTTCTACCACTCGACCCACAGCTCCACTTTTGGCTTTCTGGTGGTTAACTGGAGATAAGAATCTCACAGACTTTCCTGCCTGGGCTGGCCTGGAACCTTGGTCCTCCTGTCTCGGCCTCCTGGGTAGCTAGATTGTAGGTGTGAACCACCAGCAATCCAGCTTCATCTTTCAATTACTGAGCTCCTAGAACTGCTGGCCACGCCTTCCTCTGACCTCTCTGGAACGTTCCTTAGGCACTCACAGAGAACACAGATGGGTGGAGCAGAGGAAGGGGAAAATGTGGTTTCTTGGAGGCCCTGGGGGTGGGGCTGGGAGGACTGGCGGCCTTCCATGTTACAGATGAAGGCACCGAGTGTCTTCCAGTGGTGTGAAAATTAAATTACCCAGAGCCATGAAGCCGTCTGAATGGAGTCAGGCTTAAAGAAAAGCATTATGCTTTAAAGTATAAATTATATGTAGATATTTATAAAAGCATCAGGATCGGGAAGTCTATTTTCTTTTTTGTTGGTTGTGGGCTTGAACTCTGGGCCTGGGCGCTGTCCCTGAGCTCTTCAGCTCAAGGCGAGCGCTCTACTGCTTGAGCCACAGCACCACTTCCGGTTTTCTGGTGGTTCGTTAGAGATCAGAGTCCCACAGACGTTCTTGCCCAGGCTGGCTTTGAACCGCCATCCTCAGATCTCAGCTTCCTGAGTAGCTGGGATGACAGGTGTGAGCCACCAGTGCCCGGCTCTTCCACAGTTTCTTTGCCCTCCTGCAGGAGGAGTTCTCTGCAGCTTTTGGAAACTGGGCTGAGACTCTTGCAGGGGTTTTGGGGTGCGCTGCCCTGGTCCCCGTGTTTTCACGGGCAGACAGGCTAGGAGCCTGAAGACAGTTTTGGTTAAGATGGACTTTAGCCAGATGCTTTCTGCTGAGGGCAGAGGCCGGCGTCGAGCAGCTTCTGACGCGCGGTGATGGCACGTGCTTGCTGTTGACAGGAAATCAGCGCCCACAAAGACGAGCTCAGCTTTGAACAGCTGCATCTCTTCTACAAAAAGCTGATGTTCGAGCAGCAGAAATCGGTAAGAGGGTTCACAGAGTCCCGCCTGTACCAGGAATCCCAGACAGGAGCCGCTCCTCTCCCGCCTGGCCAAGGAACGACCGCCCTATACAGTTGCCTTTATTTTGGTGTGTGTATGTGAGCAGGTACTAGGACTTGAACTCAGGACCTGGGTACTGTCCCTGAGCTCTTGTGCTCCAGACTGGCGCTCTACTGCTTGAGCCACAGCACCACTTCTGGCTTTGTAGTGGTTCCTTGGCGATAAGAGTCTCCTGGACTTGCCTGTGGGAGCTGGCTTCCAACTGTTGATCCTCCGATCTCAGCCTCCCGAGTAGCTAGGGGGACAGGCAGGCTGCATAACTCATCTAACATCCTCGTTCTCTGCGTGTTCCCATTGCAGATACTTGATGAATTCAAGAAGGATTCCTCCGTGTTCATTCTGGGGTGAGGAGCTTCCCGCCTGACTCTGGCACTCGGAGCACTGTGTCCTCTGCCCCGCTGACCTCTGGGACGGCCGTCGTGGGGGAGGTGGGGGGGTGCTGACCATCCCAAGACTGTAGCAGGAGTAGCAATGCATGGTGGGGGGCGGGGAGAGTCCAGAGCATTCTGGAAAGAGGCCTGAAGGCCTCGGGTGCTTCTTGCAGTGTCCTGCGTGGGATTGCACAAGTGAGCCGTTTTCTTGTTTGTCTTTTGTTTCAAATCAAACCTGAAACTCTTAATGGTCAAAGTCGTAGCGAGTTGACACGCGGACATGGCTTCGCGTGGCGCTTGACATGTCACAGACACCAAGGACACGTGTGCCCTTAGAGTCCCGCTGCGGGACTTGTCAGGGCCTTCCCTAGCAGCGCTCACAAGTCCCACAAGTGTCCTGTGTGCCCCACGCCTTTCTGACCAGAAGATGTGTTTGCATGGGGCTGGGGACACCTGGGCGGTGGCTGGGGTCTGGGGCTCGAGTCCTCATGGCCGAATGAATGCCTTATCTCTCATCACCGTCCAAATCTGACCCTGTCCACGGCAGAGCACATGCCAGACGGGTGTGCAGTCTTTGTGTGTGTGTCTGCACACGCATGCGTGCACCAGTAGTGGAGCTTGAACTCAGGGCCTGGGTGCTTTCCATTAGGTGCTTTTTTTTTTTTTTGCCAGTCCTGGACTTGAACTCAGGGCCTGTTCCTGAGCTTCTTTTGCGCAAGGCTAGCACTCTACCACTTGAGCCACAGCGCCACTTCTGTCTTTTTCTGTCTGTGGTGCTGAGGACTGGAACCCAGGGCCTCAGGCATGCTAGGCCAGCGCTCTACCACGGAGCCACCTCCCAAGCCCTCGTTAGTTTTTTGCTCCGCGTTGGTGCTCTGCCACCTGAGCCACAGCTTCACTTCAGCTTTTTCCTGGTTCTTGGAGATCAGAGTCTCACCGACTTTCCTGCCCAGGCTGGCTTTGAACTGCGATCCTCAGATCTTAGCCTCCTGAGCAGCTGGGATGATGGCGTGCGCCGCACGGTGCCGGCCTCCTTCCTCGAGCTCCGGGCCTGGCGCTCTTTCCCAGCCGTGGCTGAGCCCTGGTCTCCCGGCCTCGGCGCGTCTGTTCTAGCAGCCGCTCGGCCTCCGGAACGGGGGCAGAGGCCCTGGGGCGTCCCCGCCTGCCCTGTCCCTGCTTCTCTGTGGGGACCGTGTGCTCGTGGGGCCTGGCTCGGGGGCGCTGGCTGCCCGTGAAGGCCCCCTCCTCTCTCTCTCCCCGGGGCAGGAACACGGACCGGCTGGAGGCTTCTGTGGTGTACCTGCAGGACTTCCAGAGGTTCCTCCTGCACGAGCAGCAGGTGAGGAGACCGCGGAGCTGGGGGCTGGGCGGTAGCCTCACCCGTGCCCGGGCTGAAGGCGGGTGCCACACAGCATGGCCGGCTTCCGCGGCTGGGTCCCGCGGGCCGGCATTGATGAGGAACGCCACAGGGAGGGGCTGGGTGGCGCGGGGTGGCTGCACCCCGGGGCTTCGGCTGGGAGCTGGGCTGCGCGTGGGCTCTGGGGCCTGGCACGTCCTCAGGCGTGCTGATTCCCACAGAAGGTGGCATGGGGCCCCGGAAGATGTGGCCAGGGCCTGCGGACGTTGTTGGGTGCCACAGTGGGAGATGCAGCTGGATGTGGGGGGGGGGGGATGCGGAGGCCACGGATGCTTCTGGACACCCCGTGGCAGCCGGGGCCCCCCTCCAAAGGGAACACAGTCCCCAAGACGGCAGGGCTGGGACTGAGACACGGGCATGGCAGTAAGGTAAACCTGGGTCCTCTCACTGGCTGTGTGGCCTCGGGCAGGTGTCTTAGTCTCTCTGTGCCTCAGTCTCCTTCTCTCTAAATGGGGAGGAGAGGCCCCCCCCCCCGCCAACTGAGGGACCAGAAAACGGCCATAGTATGAGCACATGCGTGGGTGTCCTGAGTTTACAGTTCCTCTTTATATCGGTCATTGACAGATCAGTGACCCGGCCACCGCTCCCTCCCTCTCTCCCTCCCTCCCTCCCTCCCTTATTTCTTTCCTCATTTTCTCCCATCTAGTCTTTGTTTTTTAGAGTACTTTTTAGGGTCACAGCACAATTAATTTACCAGGTGCCGGTGACTCACGCCTGTCATCCTAGCTACTCAGGAGGCTGCGATCTGAGGATCGTGGTTCAAAGCCAGCCCCGGCAGGAAAGTCCTTGAGACTCTTATCTTCGACGAAGCACCAAAAAGTTGGAAGTGGTGCTGTGGCTCAAAGTGGTAGAGTGCTAACCTACCATTCCAAAAGCTCAGAGACAGCGCCCAGGCCCTGAGTTCAAGCCCCAGGACCAGCAAAATAACAACAAAGCAAGAAACAAAACAGACAAGAAAACACACCCCAAACCCAGATCAGCGACTACTGAGCCCGCTAACATTTAGATCGTCCGTGTTCTTGCCTTTGCTTCCTCCTGCAACCCGCCCGCACCTCGCTTTCCTGGCTGGAGAAGCGCCGCGTTGCGCACGGAACGGGGTCTACTTGAGAAGCCACGATCCTGTGTCACATTCCCGTTGCGCGTCAGGTGACAGCCCCTGTTGCAGGAGACCCGCAGCCCCCAATGAGGCCCGGGTGGGATGGCTGCCCGAGCAGCGTGCCAGGCCGTGCCCCCCGTAGAGATGTGAATGGGGGGTGGGGAGCAGCTCTGGCTCAGCCTGAGGCCGGGCCGGGGCTTAGCCGCGGGGGACGGAGGGGTTTATCGGGCTCCGGGACACGTTGGCCGCTGTGACACTTAACTGTCTTTCTGAGCTGTTTTATTGGCCCGTGTGACGCTGCTGAACCATGCCGCCAGCCTTGTTCTTTGCTGGTGGCCTTCGAGATGGCCCCCCCCCCCCACCGCGGTCACTCGGGGTGGCCTCCCAGCCCTGTGCACTGAGAGCTCTGTAGCGTTGAATTGCATTCTGGGAAAGAACTGGTGTCCGGCCTTAGAGCTGCTGTCCAGCAGCAGGCCTAGCGCCACCTGGTGGCCACGGGTGCCATTTCTCCTGCAATAGAGTGAATGAATGACTGGACTGTCATGAATGACCGGCGGGAGGGTCACGTGACCCAGAGAGGAGTGAGTGAGCCTGCGGAATTAGAACCCAGCACCCCTAAGCAGCCTGTGCGTTTGGGGGACGGGTACTCTGCATGCCTCCTTGGCCCTTGGGGCGAAAGTGATTACGGTTCTTCTAGCAAGCACGTTGGCTGCGTGCGGTTTAGAACGAAAACCTGACTTATTTATGCACTTGCTTATTTGTTTTTGAGACAGATCCACCCGGCCCGTGCTGGCCTTGGCTGAGGTAGATCCTCCTCCCTCAGCCTTTCCATGCTGGGATTACAGGCATGTGCCACCATACCCGCCTCAAAAACTTAAGATAGTGAAAGAGATATTAAATAGTCCCTGTCCTCGGTACTGATCCTGGTACGTAATGGCAGTGTTGTAATCAGGATGGAAACGTGGACTGTCTGAATCTCCACTGATGGCAGATGAACATAACTCAGGGGGGAGGAAGAGGAGGAGGAGGAGGAAAAGAAAGAGGAGGGTGTGTGTGTGTGTGTGTGTGTGTGTGTCTAAGAGTGGGGTTAAAGGTCAGCCCCTAGAGCTGGTTGGGCCTGCCTGGGTACTATCTCCCTCAACTTCTGTACTGATAGAGGCCCCAGATTCCCCATTTATACAGCACAGAGAATAGCATGTGCTTCCCGAGGTTGTGTTCAGTAGAGGTAAAGTGGTCATTTGTTTTTGAGTGTGTGCCAGTATTTGAACTCAGAACCGCTCACTCTTCCCTGGCGTTTTTGCTCCAGGCCGGTGCTCCACCACGCAAGCCACCGTTTCACGGCAGGTGTTCTATTTTTCGACGTGTTGTATCTTTTGCTGGTTAATTGGCTTTGAGCTGTGATCCTCAGGCCTCAGCCTCCTGAGTGTCTGGGGTTACAGGCGTGAGCCTGTGACCAGTGGGAGGGAAGATTTCAGCGTGGGCCTCGTCCAGTCCGTGCGCGGTGTTGCTTGCGCCGGGGCTTTAGTTGTGTATTTACTTTCATTGCTGCGCTGTATCACAGTGTCGAGGCATTTTGGGCCTCTTCTGGCAGAGGTCACACAGAGGTCCTACAGCTGCTGGCACCCGGGCCTTTTAACAAAGCCGAGAGCTCGTTCCGAGGGAGGTGGACGGCCTCCTCGGCCGTCCCGCACTCTCTGACGTGTGGACTGTGGACGGCATGGAGCGCCGTCTCTGCAGCCTCCTGGCTGGCGCTCCTGCCCAGGGAGATTGGCAAGAGCCACCGCAGCCGGGCATGGTTTGACACCTTGTGCCAGCCAGGCGGGGCTCTGCGACCCCGTTATGTCTGTCACTGGCCCCCTGCTCCTTCTCACATCCGCCCTTCCCATCCACCATAGGGCCTGGGGCACATTTGCCCTCCTTCCCTCCCTCCCTCCCTCCCTTTCTCCCTCCCTCCCTTCCTTTTTTTTCCCTTCCTTCCTTCCTTTTTTTGAGTCTGTCTTGGGACTTGAGCTCAGGGCCTGAGTCCTTGTTCAAGATTAACACTCTACCCTTTGAGCCACAGCTCCACTTCTGGCTCTTTTAGTGCTCACTCAGAGATGAGTCTCATGGACTTTCCTGCCTAAGCTGGCTTTGAACCGTGAACCTCAGATCTCAACCTCCTGAGTAGCTGGGATCACAGATGTGAGCTGCTGGCCTTTCTTCTCTGTAAGAGCAGAGGATGTAAAACGTGGGCAAAGCGGAGGGGGTCAGCGGAGGCAGCAGCAGTGTGCTTCCAGCCAAGTTCTATCTTTTCTGCCCGTGACCACCGGGTGTCAGGGTGTGGGGGGGTAACGGCAGTAGTGGGGGCAGTTTGCACCCTGTGGATATGTTCCTGAATGTTCTGGCACTGCAGAAGCAATTACTGAGCTGGCCACCTAGAGTTCAGTCATCACTAGCCTCTGATCTGGGCAGCGCACGATCTCACATGACTCCATTCTGCAGCTGTTTTCCAGTTTGCTTACTTGGAACGCGGACCGCTGCTTCCCAGCTCTGTGAACTGCCATCTTTAGGGGATCGCTCTGGGCCTGTCTGTCCTTGCCTCTAACGTGGCAGTGACGTCCGGAGTGTTAGGGACTAAATCTGTGCCAAGAGCTAGTCAGGGCAGGCACAGGCCACTTGCAGCCGTCACTTATTTTTGTCAATAAAGTTTTATTGGGACACAGCTGTGCTCCCTTGGCTTTTGTCGGCGATAGCTATTCAGGCATTGCCAAGGCAGAGCTCAGTGGGGCACCAGACGGCACTGCATGGCCCGTGGGGTCGGACCTACGTCCCTTCTGCTCCGGTTCCTAGCCAGGCCTGCGCGGCGGGAGGCCTCGGCCGGATGTGTGGCCCCTGCGGGCCGCGACTCAGAGTTGGCTGAGGTTCCGTCGTGGACCTGAGCGATGAGGGTCTTGTCACCTGCATTTGTGATGATTTCTCGTTTGTCCCCCTTGTCCCTTGAAGGAGCCCTGGGCTCAGGATATAAACAAAGTCCGGGAGCGGATGACCAGGTTCATCGATGACACCGTCAGAGAGACTGTGGAGCCCTTCCTGTTTGTGGATGAGGTACGGGGCCGGGCGCGCGTGCGTGCGTGCGTGTGTGCGTGCGTGCATGTGCGCCGGGTATGTGTGGGCCGGGCGTGCGTGCGTGCGTGCGTGTGTGCGTGCATGTGTGTGCGTGCATGTGTGTGTGCCGGGTATGTGTGGGCCGGGCGTGCGTGCGTGCGTGCGTGTGTGCGTGCATGTGTGTGCGTGCATGTGTGTGTGCCGGGTATGTGTGGGCCGGGCGTGCGTGCGTGTGTGCGTGCGTGCCGGGTATGTGTGGGCCGGGCGTGCGTGCGTGCGTGTGGGCCGGGTATGTGTGGGCCGGGTGTGCGTGCATGTGTGTGTGTGTGTGCCGGGTATGTGTGGGCCGGGCGTGCGTGCGTGCGTGCATGCATGTGTGCGTGCGTGCGTGTGTGTGCGTACATGCGTGTGCGCCGGGTATGTGTGGGCCGGGCGTGCGTGCGTGTGTGTGTGTGTGCGCCGGGTATGTGTGGGCCGGGCATGTGTGCGTGCATGCATGTGTGCGTGCGTGCGCGCGTGCATGCGCGCGTGCGTGCGTGTGTGTGCGTGCATGCGTGTGCGCCGGGTATGTGTGGGCCGGGCGTGCGTGCGTGTGTGCGTGTGTGCGTGCGTGCCAGGTATGTGTGGGCCGGGCATGCATGCGTGCGTGTGTGTGTGCGCCGGGTATGTGTGGGCCGTGCGTGCATGCGTGCGTGCATGTGTGCGTGTGTGTGTGTGTGCGTGTGCCGGGTGTGCGTACGTGCGTGTGTGCGTGTGTGTGTGTGTGTGCGCCGGGTATGTGTGGGCCGGGCATGTGTGCGTGCGTGCATGCATGTGTGCGTGCGTGCGCGCGTGCATGCGCGCGTGCGTGCGTGTGTGTGCGTTCATGCGTGTGCGCCGGGTATGTGGGGGCCGGGCGTGCGTGCGTGTGTGCGTGTGTGCGTGCGTGCCAGGTATGTGTGGGCCGGGCATGCATGCGTGCGTGTGTGTGTGCGCCGGGTATGTGTGGGCCGTGCGTGCATGCGTGCGTGCATGTGTGCGTGTGTGTGTGTGTGCGTGTGCCGGGTGTGCGTACGTGCGTGTGTGCGTGTGTGTGTGCGTGTGTGCCGGGTATGTGTGGGCCGGGCGTGTGTGCGTGCATGTGTGTGCGCCGGGTATGTGTGGGCCGTGCGTGCATGTGTGTGTGTGTGCGTGTGTGCATGCGTGCGTGTATGCGTGTGTGTGCGTGTGTGCATGCGTGCGTGTGTGCGTGCGTGTGTGTGCGCCAGGTATGTGTGGGCCGGGCGTGTGTGCGTGTGCGTGTGTGCGTGCGTGTGTGTGCGCCAGGTATGTGTGGGCCGGGCGTGTGTGCGTGTGCGTGTGTGCGTGCGTGTGTGTGCGCCAGGTATGTGTGGGCCGGGCGTGTGTGCGTGCGTGCGTGTGTGCGTGTGTGTGCGTGCGTGTGTGTGCGCCAGGTATGTGTGGGCCGGGCGTGTGTGCGTGTGTGTGCGCGCTGAGTATGTGTGGGCTGTGTGTGTATGTGTGGGCAGGTGTGTGTGTGCGTGCATGTGTGTGCGCGCGCCGGGTATGTGTGGGCCGGGTGTGTGTGGGGGTGTATGTGTGTGTGTGTGTGTGCCGGGTATGTGTGGGCCGGGTGTGTGTGTGCGTGCGTGTGTGTGTGCACACGCCGGGTATGTGTGGGCCGGGTGTGTGTGGGGTTGTATGTGTGTGTGTGTGTGTGCCGGGTATGTGTGGGCCGGGTGTGTGTGTGCGTGCGTGTATGTGTGCGCGCGCCGGGTATGTGTGGGCAGGTGTGTGTGTGGGGGTGTATGTGTGTGTGTGTGCCGGGTATGTGTGGGCCAGGCGTGTGTGTGTGCGTGTGTGCATGTGTGCTTGTGTGTGTGTGTGCGCCGGGTATGTGTGGGCCGGGTGTTTGTGGGTGTATGTGTGGGCAGGTGTGTGTGTGGGGGTGTATGTGTGTGTGTGTGTGGGCCGGGTATGTGTGGGCCAGGCGTGTGTGTGTGCGTGTGTGCATGTGTGCTTGTGTGTGTGTGTGCGCCAGGTATGTGTGGGCCGGGTGTGTGTGGGGGTGTATGTGTGTGTGTGTGTGCCGGGTATGTGTGGGCCAGGCGTGTGTGTGTGTGCGTGCATGTGTGCTTGTGTGCGTGTGTGCGCCGGGTATGTGTGGGCCAGGCGTGTGTGTGTGCGTGTGTGCATGTGTGCTTGTGTGTGTGGGCCGGGTATGTGTGGGCCAGGCGTGTGTGTGTGCGTGTGTGCATGTGTGTGTGTGTGGGCCGGGTATGTGTGGGCCAGGCGTGTGTGTGTGCGTGTGTGCATGTGTGTGTGTGTGGGCCGGGTATGTGTGGGCCAGGCGTGTGTGTGTGCGTGTGTGCATGTGTGTGTGTGTGGGCCGGGTATGTGTGGGCCAGGCGTGTGTGTGTGCTTGTGTGCGTGTGTGCGCCGGGTATGTGTGGGCCGGGTGTGTGGGGGGGTGTATGTGGGCAGGTGTGTGTGTGGGCAGGGTGTGTGTGTGTGTGTGTGTGCAGACAAGTGTGAGTTTGCCTCACACCTGTGTCTGCTGAGGTTTGCTTCCTGTCTCACCTGTTTAAGGGAAATTGCCATTAGAAGCTACTGGTCCAGCAATGTCCAGACCGCATTTTTTTTCCAGTTATTGATTCGGCCGCCAGAGGGCGCCAGCCACCAGCAGGAGCCGTGGTTCTGACCAAGTGCCGGGCTTTCTGCTGGTGGCTGGAGGGCAGGGGAGGGGCGGGAGGGGCGGGGGGGGGGGGGGGGAGGGCCGGGAGGGGGTGGGGGCGGGAGGGGCGGGGGGGGGAGGGCCGCGAGGGGGTGGGGGCGGGAGGGGCTGGGGGGAGGGCCGCGAGGGGGTGGGGGCGGGAGGGGGAGTGGGGGGTGGGGGCGGGAGGGGGGGTGAAGGCGGTCGGGAAGCTCCCGCTCCTGCTGCTCTTTTTCAAGGACCAGGAGTTAGGCTAAGACATGGCCTGCCCTCTTGGTGTTCTGAACGGCCTTGCGTCTTGAGCCAGGGGCCGACCCACAAATGTGCACTATTGCCCGTCGAGGTTCTGTCCGAAGCCGGGCACTGGTGGCTCACGCCTGTAATCCCAGTGCTCCACGAGGCTGAGACCCGAGGACCCGTCAGAGCCAGTCCGTGAGATTCTTATCTCCCAAGTAACCAGCAGAAAGAACTGGAAGTAGAGCTGCGGCTCCAGTGTCAGAGCACCAGCCTTGAGCAAAAAGAAAGAGAAACAGAAAAGCTCAGGGACAGCACCCAGGCTCTGAGTTCAAGCCCCAGTACCGGCGCGCACACACGCACATGCACACACACACACACACACACACATACACGCACACACACATGCACACGCACGCGCCCACGCACACACACGCACGCACACACATGCACATGCACGCACGCACACGCACACACGCACACACACACGCACACACACGCACTCACGCATGCACACACACGCACACGCACACACACACACGCGCACACACACGCACACACACACGCACACACACACGCGCGCACACACACGCACACACACGCACACACACACCCGCCTCCGTGCAGGAAGCATGTGTTCTCGCAGTATTCATAGTTTGGGCTGAGCACTGGGTCCCTGCGCATGCACACGAGCGGGCGGCCCGTGTCGTCCGTCTGTCTGTCCTGGGATCTGGGTGACGGCGGCCGGGCCTGCGCCGGCTCCTGCCTCCTGGGCGCAGCGCGGAAGCCTCCAGGCTCTGCCCGGTGCCGCGAGTGACCGGCTCCTGCCTCGTGGGCGCAGCGCGGAAGCCTCCAGGCTCTGCCCGGTGCCACGAGTGACCCGCGTCCGTGGCTCTTGCAGTTCCTCACCTACCTGTTCTCCCGGGAGAACAGCATCTGGGACGACAAGTACGACACGGTGGACATGCAGGACATGAACAACCCCCTGTCCCATTACTGGATCTCCTCCTCCCACAACACGTGAGCCCACACCACCCAGGGCCTGCCCGGCCCGCGCGGGGCGGGGGGGGGGGGGGTGCGGGGAGCGGCGGGGGGGGGGGGGGGGCGGGGAGCTGGAGGCAGGATTACACTGAACAAGGCCGGAAGGAGAGTTTCACCAGGAGAGTGAACGTGCAAAGGGCCTGGGGCAGGAACACCAGAGCTTAGCGTTTGGGAGGGCAGCTCGGGAGAAAAGCACAGCCAGCCTGATTGCCAATCATGTGAAAGGCAGCGGGGGGCCAGAGGTGGCTATTAAGCCGGAGAATCACGTGCTTACACCCGCCTCTTTGGGTGATGGGCAGTGCCAGAAGAGAGAGAAGCTTAGAGGGGTCCCCGTCTTTAATCCGTGAAGTGGGGCGGGGAAAGTCCCTGCTCACTGTAGACTGATGCCTTCCCACGCGTCTCCAGGCTGGGGGCTGAGAAGTTTAGGTGAACTCTTTTGGGAGGCAAATTGATTCGAAGTTCAGCCTCCCAGGCTTTATCCCTTGATTTACAAATTGGTGTCTTAACGCCATAATCGCACCTACTCAGGAGGCCGAGATCTAAGGATCACGGTTCAAAGCCAAAACCCCAGGCGGAAAAAGGCAGTGAGATCCTTGTGTCCAATTAAACGGCAAAATGCCGGACAGCAGGTATGGTTCAGGTGGCAGAGCCCCAGCTGTTGAGTGAAAACGGCAAACAGAAGTGCAGGACCCCCGAGTTCAAGCCTGGCGCGCGTGCGCGTGCACACACACACACACACACACACACACACACTGAATTAAGTCTCCCAACGTCTGCGTGGCCTCTGTTCGGATCCTGCCAGTGGTGCACGTCTGAGGCCCACCGTGCGAGTCTGGCCCAGATCCCCAGGCTGAGGTGCCCTCCCCCCACGGTGCCCCCCCCGCCCGCAGGTACCTCACCGGGGACCAGCTCCGCAGCGAGTCGTCCACCGAGGCCTACGTGCGCTGCCTGCGTCTGGGCTGCCGCTGCATCGAGCGTGAGTGTCGGCCGCAGCTCTGCGGGTCCCAGCCCCCCACCTGGGCCCCTCAGGGAGGAGGCTGGCCGGCCCCGGTAGCCCCGGGGCTGGGTGCGGGGTGTGGCTGGCCAGGGGCAGCATCTGGGGCCTGGCCGGGCCGCCCACGTCCGCAGCACACGCGTGTCCCGTCCAGCCGGTTTTAGCTGTGGGCCCTGCGTGTGCCAGGCGCCTCGCAGCCCCTGCTTGGGAGGGGGGGAGGCTAGTCAGATGGTGTCCTGGCTGAGCCGATGGCAGAGGCTCGTTGCTGGTCACCGCGCGGCCTTGTCCTCTCTCTATTCTGTCTCGGGCTGGGGCGCGGTGCCGGCCAGCGCCCCGAACTTCCCGTGTTCAAAGGCGGTTTTGGCCCGCTGCTCTGCATGGGCGGGGCACTCATTGCTTTGGGCTCCTGAAGAGAAAGAGGAGGGGCCGGGGTCCCCAGAGCCCTTTAACGATCGATGCCCCAATGACTTAAAGACCTCCCACAAGCTCCTGCCTTGTCACGGGCCGCCCCCCAGGACAAGCACCCCACACACGGGAGACTCCAAGCAGGGCGGTGCATTTGGCTACATGCCGGCCACATTCAGGGCTCGCTAAACACTCCCATGCCGTCAGGGGTGAGGGCCAGTTGCTCCCACACTCCCTGGTGTGTCTGCCCCGCTGCCCGTCCCGGGACCTGGGCTGCCCACCCCCCCCCCCCCCCCCCGCCTTGGTGGACCCGAGGCCGCTCCTCCTCCGCAGTGGACTGCTGGGACGGGCCCGACGGGAAGCCCATCATCTACCACGGCTGGACCAGGACCACCAAGATCAAGTTCGAGGACGTTGTGCAGGCCATCAGGGACCACGCCTTTGTGGCGTCCAGGTCAGTGGGCTTGTTTGCCAGGAAGGCAGCTAGACGGACGGACGGACGGACGGACGCACACTGCCCGCCCCCTCCTGGCTGGCACCGGTGAGTCTTCCTGTGGCCTCCGCCGTGGTCATTGGGGGTGTGTGGAATAGCACCCCGAGAATGGGCTCTGGCACTCCACACTTTGTTTCGTGTGTTTATTTTTGGTGCCGGTCCCGGGGCTGGAACTCGGGGCCTAGGCGCAGCCCCCGCGCTTTTGGGCTCAGGTCCGGCGCGGCCATCTGAGCCAGACCTCCGCTTCTGGCTCTGTTTTTTTTTTTGCTGGTGAATTGGAGATCTGAGTCTTGTGGACTTTTCTTCTCAAGCTGGCTTTGAACCTGGGTCCTCAGATCTCAGCCTCCTGAGTAGCGAGGATGACAGGCGTGAGCCACCGGCGCCTGGCTGAGGGGTGTCCTTGGTTGGGCCCCCTGCTGGGTGGCCTGCTCTCCCTCCTCTGCCCCCCCATGCCTTTCTGGCCTGGACACGGTGGGTGGAGGGCGGTCCCGCTGGCCCCTGCTCCGTGCCCCTGAGCCGGGCCTGGCCCCTCCACCACCCACAGCTTCCCGGTGATCCTGTCCATTGAGGAGCACTGCAGCGTGGAGCAGCAGCGCCACATGGCCAAGGTCTTCAAGGAGGTGCTGGGCGACCTGCTGCTGACCCGGCCCACGGAGGTCAGTGCTGACCAGCTGCCCTCACCCAGCCAGCTGCGGGAGAAGATCATCATCAAGGTAGGTGTGCAGGGATGACCAGGCAACCACCAGGGCCGCCGCGACCCCGGGGGGGGGGGGGGGCGCCCCGGGGGGGGGGGGCGCCCCGCAGCCTGGTGCAGTGCTGGCTCTCCTTACACACGCCCTGACCCGGCCACGGTCATTCAGCTTCTCAGTGGGTGCCCCTGAGTCTCCTCCCACCTGGGGGGCTGATACAGAACCCATCTCCACTTCCGGCTTTTTGCTGGTTAATTAGAGATAAGAGTTTCTCTCTAAGGTTGGGTGCCGGTGGCTCACACCTGTCATCCTAGCTACTCAGGAGGCTGAGATCTGAGGATCCAGGTTCAAAGCCAGCCCGGGCAAGAAAAGTCTGAGACTCTGATCTCCAGTGAACAGCCAGAAAACCGGAAGTGGTGCCGTGGCTCAAATGATAGAGCACTGGTCCTGAGCGGAAAAGCTCAGATATGGTTCCCAGGCTCTGAGTTCAAACCCCATGACTGACAAAAAATAAAAATCAAAAAGAGTTTCTCAGATTTGTCTGCCCAGGCTGGTTTCGAACCAGGATCCTCAAATCTCAGCCTCCCGAGTAGCTGGGATCACACTGATGGCCAGCCCCACATTAACCTTGAGGGCCAGGACGTGTGTGTGGGATAGGCCACACTTGGGGGATAGGTCTCACTCGGGGGATAGGTCGCACTCGGGGGATAGGTCGCACTCGGGGGATAGGTCACACTCGGGGGATAGGTCACACTCGGGGGATAGGTCGCACTCGGGGGATAGGTCGCACTCGGGGGATAGGTCGCACTCGGGGGATAGATCGCACTCGGGGGATAGGTCGCACTTGGGGGATAGGTCACACTTGGGGGATAGGTCACACTCGGGGGATAGGTCGCACTTGGGGGATAGGTCGCACTTGGGGGATAGGTCACACTCGGGGGATAGGTCACACTCGGGGGATAGGTCACACTTGGGGAGGTCGCACTCGGGGGATAGGTCACACTCGGGGGATAGGTCACACTCGGGGGATAGGTCACACTCGGGGGATAGGTCGCACTCGGGGGATAGATCACACTCGGGGGATAGATCACACTCGGGGGATAGGTCGCACTCGGGTATAGGTCACACTCGGGGGATAGGTCGCATGCGTGAGTATGGGGGGGTCAGTAAGCTGATCTCGTGGGGAGACAGGTCGTGACAGAGAAACCCCGAGAGCGTGGGGGGCTCCGGCTGAGCCCACGGGGTAGAGACCGCTGCTCTGTGGCGCGGAGGCCGAGGCTGGGCTGGCAGCCTGGACGCGGCGCCCTGGCTGGGCCATGTCTTGGAGGGGACGCTGCAGCGCCCCCTGGCGGCCCTGTGTACTTTTTCTCCGCAGCATAAGAAGCTGGGTCCCCGAGGGGACGTCGATGTCAATGTGGAGGACAAGAAGGACGAGCACCGACAGCAGGGGGAGCTGTCCATGTGGGACTCCATTGACCAGGTGGGCCGGCCTCCGCCAGCCGGCCTCCGCCAGCCGGCCTCCAGCCTCGGCCCGGGCCAGGGCCTCCTCCCACCTCTGCACTCCTCCTCCCCTCCTCCTCCTGCTCCTCCTCCTCTTCCCCTCCTCCTCCCTTCCTCCTCCTCTCCTCCTCCTCCTCCTCCTCCTCCTCCTCCTCTTCCCCCCTCCTCCTCTTCCTCCTCACCTCCTCCTCCTCCTCCTCCTCCTCTTCCCCCCCTCCTCCCCTCCTCCTCCTCCTCCTCTTTCTACCTCTTCTTCTACCTCCTCTTCTTGTTCTTCTTGGTCTTGTTCTCCTCCTCTTCCCCCTCCCCCTCCCCTCTTCCCCCTCCCCTCTTCCCCCTCCCCCTCTCCTCTTCCCCCTCCCCCTTCCCTCTTCCCCCTCCCCCTCCCCTCTTCCCCCTCCCCGCCCCCTCCCCCTTCTCCTCCTGCCCCTCCCTCTCCCCCCCTCCCTTCCTCCCCTCCCCCTCCCTCTTCCTCTCCCCCTCCCTCTCCCTCTTCTCTCTTTCTCTGCACATGCACACATATGCACACTGGTCCTAGGGCTTGAACTCTGGGCACTGTGCCCGAGCTTCTTTTGCTCAAAGCTAGTTCTCTACCACTTAAGCCACAATGCCACTTCTGGCTTTTTCTGAGTAGTTAATTGGAGATAAGAGTTTCACAGACTTTTCTGCCTGGGCTGGCTTTGAGCCATGATCCTCAGATCTCCTCAGCCACCAGCGCCCAGTTCTCTTTCATTTAAAAAATCTGTGTGTGTGTGTGTGTGTGTGTGTGTGTGTGTGTGTACGTGTACGCGCACGTGCATGCGCATGCTAGTGTGACTCCTGACCACAAAAAGGGCGTTAGTGGATACAATTGACTGAATGCAAGAATATACACGTACATTGACTGGGTGCTAATTTTGGAAAGTTATTTTTTAGCCGGGCGCTGGTGGCTCACGCCTGTAATCCTAGCTTCTCAGGAGGCTGAGCTCTGAGGATTGGAATTGGAAGCCAGCAAAGAGTCTGTGAAACTTGTATCCTCCAATTGACCACCAGAAAGCCCAAAGTGGAGCTGTGGGTTCAAGTGGTGGAGTGCTAGCCTTGAGCAAAAAAAAAAGCTAAAGGATAGCTCCCAGGCCCTGAGTTCAAGACCCAGCACCTGCACACACACACTAAATTAAATAACTAACGTCATGATTAAATGCTGTAGAAAGTCTTCAGATCAACAAGCAGGAAAAGCCAAAAAGTAGAAGGTAGCCATAAAGACTCCTAAGACCACCTGCCCCTTACGAAAGGCTAAACGTGAAACACGCAGGAGAATTTGATATTCACACAGTCCTAAAAGTGATCAAAGAAACCAAAGTAGAAGTCTTATTTATACAACAAATGTCTACCGAAGAGCCAGTTCAGTGTCAGGAACATGGAAGAGGAGGCAGTTCCCGGTTCGTGGTGGGGTGCTGTCTGTGGGGTGCCCAGGTCCTGGGGCATGGGGAGACTGAGGTCCCCTGTGCTCTTAGAAGTGGACTCGCCACTACTGTGCCATCGCCGACGCCAAACTGTCCTTCAGCGACGACATCGAGCAGAGCGTGGAGGAGGAGCCACCCCAGGTACGTCACTGGCCGGGTCTCCGCCGGCTCTGCCGGCCCCAGGTTGGCTGGCAGGGGTGTGTGTGTGTGTGTGTGTGTGTGTGTGTGTATTTCAGCACTGGGCTTGAACTCAGGACCTTATGCTATTGCTTGTCTGTCTGTGTTTTGCTCAAGGCTGGCACTCTA